ATAATGCAAAATATATATATATATATATTTGCAGTCAGGCATAAATGAAAAAAGCTTATGGGCTCACGACGTTCGTTCGCAAATCGCACTTCGCAGTCGTTCACACTGGCGATGGAGAAGAAGGCCGGATGATGAAGGCAGCAAAAATCGCGAAGGCTAAGCCGCTGAAGGTGAAGTCTTGAAGAAGAAATGGTGAACGTAATGAATTTGTGGTCCAAACATTTTCATTTAATTGAGGAAACATGGTTTGGCTCGTTGGCTGGACCATATATAATAAGTCTTGGACTATTGGGCCAAAGAACAAAAAAAGAAACGAAACAGCCCAACAAAGGACTGAAGAAGAACCAAAACGGCAGAACGTACCAGACGGAAGCGAAGAAGAACCAGTTACCAGCCCAGTCCATCGCCTCCCAAAAACTCTTCCGGCGAAGCCCAGCACGGGCGGCTGCCCCCCCCCGGCCGAGTGCTGGGTCCGCCACTGTACATGCACAAAAAAAAAAACGGAGGCTAATATTTGAAAATAAATTAGAGATATACACAATTGTGGTGGTTATTTTGGTGGAAAACAAGATAAACGCCAGCAACACGTAATTTGGATATTATTCACGTCAATTTTAGTGATATCTTTTCACTTTTACGTGTTTAATTTCAACATTATGTGTGGCTAAATACTTTTATTGTTAGGATTGATAATGTAGCTAAGGTTTTTATTATATGTTTAATTTCTTTCGTCAATTTTGGTGATGTATTTCCACTTTTGCGTGTTTAAATTCAAAGTTATGAGTGGCTAAATACTTTTATTGTTATGATTGATGATGTAGCTTAAGGTTTTTATTATATGTTTAATTTCAAGATTTTCATGTCATTTTAATACTTGTTAATTAATTATTGTGTGTTTAATGCTATTATTTGTTTGTGCAACAATTAATTGATTTAAGTTTAATACTGAGATCGATATGTGATGTATAATTCTAGCTCATGCAATAATTAACATAGACATTATAAGAGATTGAGAGATAATTATAGGTTATGCGATTTTTTTTGAATTCGTATAAGTAAATGCGTTCATATGTGTGTGAATTTATATAGAGAAATAATAAATTCGGGCATATGAATATGATTAGTGTTGTTCGAGAGAGATCACTAAATACACTAGGTTAATTCGATCGTTGGCACGTATAAAAAATGGCTGAATAAATTGGAATTAAATGTATGATAAATAATCTAAATGAAATCGGAAATCCTAAATATCCAATCACATAATCTTTTCTACAGTTTTAATTTGAGTTTATTATTTTTAATTAATCTTCGTTATTTTATTTATTAGAATTTTGTTTAGAAAACAAAATTTAATTTGATCATTAGTTACCATTTTTATTTAAATTGAAGATATGTCAGTTTAAAAGTTTTTAATAGATAGTAGTATCTGCTAGTCAGAACTTGATAAATCACCTTCAAGATCTGTACACTTGCTTAATTTCAAGAACAGTAGTCATGAGCATTGAGCACCATGTTTGGTCGCCAATGGTTTCTTGGACTACCACCAATTGTTGCTCGACTTCAAAAGGAATCATTGTCGTGTGCACACTCTGTCTTTATTTGAGCCGTTAAAGGAGATGGAGGGTGAGATGCGGCCTTAATGTTGGGGGATTCAACTGGGGTTGCTATTGGGAAAATGGTTTTTAATACTAGTGAAATGGGTTAACTTTGAACCCAAATTTTAGCAGGATCCGTGCCTTAATTTCAACGGGGACCTAGCATATTCATGTTCTACTCCGCAAGAGGATTAACGTGATATATTTATTTGTCGAAAACCATTTAGTATTGAATGAAATATTTAATGTCAAAGTAACCCGCTTGAAACACGAATTTGATTTATTAG